GTCTAGATAGTTCTAGCGTATTTCTTGTTTATTATAACTATTTGAAATAAAGAGAACAAAATTCTACACCAAATGAAACCTTTGAAAGCCGTGACATGGGAGATTGTCAGCAACGTCAGTACAAATTTCTGAAAACAATGTGAATTATTAACCGTTTGAAAAGGTTTTTCTTACATTCAATTTAGTTAACTTCTTAGTTACTTGCCCAAGAGGCTGCTAGCGTGTTGCGGCGTACATACCGCATAATAGTCGAGTTCTTAAACAGCACTGCGTTCAAAATAGGTACAAGACATACCAGTACCATTATTTTCTCCTCTGCCCACAGTAGGAAGATGCTTGATATGTTATCAGCCGGCTTTTATACGAATATACAATGCTTTTTCTCTACTCATTGTAATCTCAGACTATAAAAACCTGTAAAAAACCATTACAATCAAAAGTATGCTACATAAGGACAGACAAGATACAATGTAGTGAGTAAACATTTAAAAAAGTTTTCGAAGAAATGATAATCTCTCAAGAGATTCTTATGTCATGTCAGTGAGGAATAATGTTTTTTTCATAAATTACCAACAGTCTGGAAGCTTGATAACTTCTACAATGCATTTTATTTTCTAAAGGTATTTGAAGTCTTTGGCGTATCCAAACTTCATATGGGCAAAATCTTCACGAGGGATGCTGTTCTAAGTACAGGTTTTTGAAAAAGCAAATTATAAAATTCAAACAATTCTACTTATTTCACTTTATCACCACAGCTTCACATAATTTACATTTTCTGCGTGTTCGAAATCTGTAAGTATATAATGCTTGTTATTTGTTATCTTCTAAAACGCGAGTGAATTGGTGTAGTATAATAAAAATCATGAAGATCGCATCAATCACAATATACAACTCTCGCTGGTAACAAGTAGATCCATATGTAGTGACACTTGAACCCCCTTGCTTCTTTCATTATGTCTCCTAATGAAAGTTGATACGTAAGGTGGATTGAGCAGATTGAGTACCAGATTTAAGCAATGGAAAGCGTATACTAACTTTTTGAGTTTTTTATTGTAACTGCTCGTATATATGGAATTTGGATATATTCGCACTTCAACATTATAAGGCAATTTGTTGGGCTTTCTATAAAAATATTTTCCTTCTATATAGGTTCATGATGTTATTTATAGGTTCCAGTGGAAACCAAGAGGACCATTTGCCTAATTGCTTGTGCATATTGGATCTTTTTAG